GCTCATGGAGCTTCCGAAGAACGCCGTCGACAAGAGCACGAAGCGGACGGGTCTGGGCCGTTGCAGGCATTTCTTTTGGCTGGGCGTCGCTTTCGACACGGTGGGCGCGACCCTGCTGTTCACCGGGGTCTTCGCCGATCTGCTCTTCTACGACCTGCTGCTCTACCTGGGTTCCATCATCATCTTCCTCAGCCTCCTCTGGTGGGTCTTCTGGTACACCGGCAACATCGAACTGACTTCCGAAGAGGCCTTGAACAGGTCCTACCTCTTGCCCTCCGCCACTGTACTGGAAGCCCTGAACCAGACCATCAGTAACCGCTTGTCTTTAACCATCGGCAGCATTTCCAGCACCTTTTTGCGGATCCGCCGGCGGCGGCGGCGGTGGCACCGCAGGAGGTTCCTGGAAGGGACTGCTTCTCTGAATATGACTGTCACCGGCCAGGTCGAAAACCAGCCAGCAGGGGGACCAGGACAAAGACGGGATGAAAAGTGTCAAGGAGAGCGGCGACGTTGAATACTTTGGCAGAGAGGATCTGCCCAAATCTGAGGCTGTCGAAAGTTTAAAGGGAGTTTGCTCTCTGGGACCTGATGCCCGTCCCCTGGGTCCTAAGGCTGGTGTGCTGAGGTTTGTTGAAGGACAGTCAGTCCCTCTGGTGCAGCCATTCACTCCATCTTCTCTGGACCAGCCTCTAACTCCAGCCATCCTGGCCTCTAAGAGCCTGCCCACAGTCCCTTTGGCTTCTAAGAGCCAATGTCTACCTATTCTGACTTCTAAGAGCCAGCCTGTAGTTTCCTTGGCTTCCATGAGCCAGCCTCCTGCAGTCACTCTTGCCTCTGAGATCCTGCCTTCTGTCTCCTTGTCCTCTCAGAGTCAGCCTCTGGCTATCCTTACCACGGCTATCTCTGTGGCCTCTCAGGGCTTCCCCCTGGTACCTGTGGCTGCTCAGAGCCACCTCCGGATCCCTCTGGCTTCACAGAGCCAGCTCCAGAATCTTTTTCAGACCAGTCAAACTCAGCCACCACCTGTTCAGGCTTCTGAAGCCCAGAGTCTGGCCACCCCCGTCTCTCTGCTCCAGCTTCTGCCCACTCAGTCTTTTCAGACCCAACCCGTGGACCCTCACGTGGCTGAGGCTTTCCATGACTTTCAGGCCTTGTATCATACCCAGCAGGCCTCCCAGAGCAGCTCTTTAGTCCAAAGGATTGGACCAAGCCGGTCTCCATCTGCCCCAGAGATTCAGGAAAAGCCAGTTGCTTTCAAGAGCCCGCCACCAGCAGGCCAGGAGAAACCCACTGACACTGCATCCCTGCTCCCTGAGTCCCCAGCTCCAGCTGCTCAAACCCAGCCGTCAGCGCCCCCGGGAGGGCGCTCACCCCCGTCCCAGGAGAGGAAGCGCTACTCTCTAGCACAGAACCAGACCCCAGCCCTCTGAGTGGCCCTCAGGCCTCCGCCAAGTAAGTGCCTTTGGAGGAATACCTGCGGTATTCCTGAATTGTTTCCGGGTCCATGTTCTGGTGGGTTCCTCAATCCCTTCTGTTCAAAAACGTTAAGTTACTGGAGTTGCAGTGGCCTCTTCCTTCAGAGATTAGATCATTTGAACTTAGTCGGTTTTTGAAACCTAGTGCTCTGAGAAGATGAGTTGCTGTTAGGGTTTTATGGCTGTACCAGCACGATCTTTTATTTAGGATTAGTGGGGAGAGAGTGTTAATTACACTCCTCTAGGAGCTCTAAGGTGGGGGGAAGGCAAGGGTACTCTGCAATGTTACTGAAACAGGATGATTTTGGATGGTACAGGGACACAGCATAAATAGCAATGAGCCTTCCAGCGGGAACGTTATTCCCTTTTCAATTCTTTTTCCAGTCTTTCTGATTACATCAAAGAAAATGTCCTTCACGTGGGGTTAGTGGTCTCTTAACACCTCTGTAACACTTTGGTAGGCAACAGCGGCACCCAGCTAGGATTTAAAACCATTTGTGTTAACAAAGTTATTTCAGTGGATAACTTCTATTTATGCCCAGTAATACTGGTTTTTCTATTTACAATATTGATGGTTGCTTTTCAAAATCCGTTTATTTAGGTAAAACTACTTCACAGGAGTTAATGTAAAAGTAAAAATTAATTGTAGAATGAAACTTGGAAAGATTCTGAGGTTTGGAAAACATTTGGTTGTACTAAATCACATGAGCTTTCTACCAAATCACAAAACCCTTTATGCGGACCTATTTGATAAATTTTATGGTTAAGGCTATTGATGACTTCCCCTTAACTCCCAACCCATTGTCAATTAGAAGGGTAGAAAAGATCATGTGAAAGTCAAAATTGGTGACCCTGCTTCTCAGTGGGTTAAGTGCTTAGTGTGAGTTTCCTGAACTTTCTCTCTAATCTTGTTCCTTAAATTCCCTTCTTTTGGGGTGCAGGGAGGAGAAAGAGTATAGAGCAGAGCAATACTTTGGAATTACGTTAATGCTCCTTGTTTAAATGCTACTAACATATTCAAGAAGGTGTTCATCCTTATTTCATATTGGTTGGTTTCATTTCCAATGTGGGGTACAACTGAATATTAAGTGGAAGTCAGACTCTTTAATTTCCTTACAGTTTTCTCCAACTTGCCTTTAAGAGAATGTATAACACTCTCTAGATAAACACACACATAAATGCGCTATAGATAATCATAGCGACAAAGCATTTTAGCCCTTTTGATTTTGTATAGTTTGGAAACGTGGATTCTAAAATGAAATACATTCAGTGGTTCATGTTTCTTTCTTTTTTTTTTTAAACAAAAGAGTAAAACACTAACAAACCATAATGGTTTCAGAAGTTAAGGATTTAGTATTATTGAAAAAGATCATTCTTTTTTTTCCTATTAATTCTGCTTTTTTAGATTATTTGTATGATTGAAATAATTCTCCACATAATTCTATTTTGGGAGGCACGGGGAGGTAATTAGGTTTATTTATTTTTAGAGAAGGTACTGGAGATTGAACCCAGGACCTCCTGCAGGCTAAGCATACACTCTACCACTTGAGCTATACCCTCCCCTGTCCATTTAATTCTTGAAGGAGTACTTACTAAGTGCCAGGAATAACGGTAAACACATGTAAACCTGAAAGGATGCGGACCTTGCCGTCAGAAAGCTTAGAGATTATGTTCTCTAACGAGGAGAAAATTTTAGACAAGGAATGAGAAGGTGTAGGTTGGTGTCTTTCTAATAATTCTTAGTGGAAGAATTATTTTTGACAGGAAGAGCCATGCAGTGCCTTTCAAATAATTCATTGAATTTCTAGCAAGTGCCAGGCATTACATTAGGCACTGGGGATTCAGAGATAAGATGTCCCCGATCTCCAAGTGCTCACTATTTATCAAGGGAGACAGACCTAGGAGTAACTTACAGAGTGTGCTGTAACTGTAAGTGTGCTAAGTCTAGTCTTGGTCTCCCGGAATACAGGTGTGGGCTGGGTGAGGGAGTTTTGAATTGGACAAAGAAGATGGGGAAAACATTCCATGCAATGGGAAAAGCATCAACAAAAAGGCTCAGAAGTTTCACAGCCCATGGCTTGCTGAGGACACATTTGGGAAAGAATCATCTGAGGCTGTAGTCAAGGGTGCTTGGGACTCGGAGGTTGGGGGCGAGGAAGCAGGAAACCTTTGCAGGCTCTTTAAGCAGGGTAATTGTGTTCATAATTCTACCTGTGGGTTCTGTTATAAAGTTATGGCAATAGGCCAATAATTAGAGAATAATTGCTAAGTTCTCTCCCAGTTAGTTCTAAGCTGAAAGCAGCCCTCTTAGATGTTAGCAACAGTTCCTAACCAAAATGTAGGCTCCATGCATATTCATGGATATTCATTGGAAAACACTTTCAGGTGTTTATTTACTCATACATAACTTTTTTTTTTTTGCTACAAAGATTGTTAACAGGCCCTTTCCAGATTCTTGGACAGCAATACCATAGAAATGAATATTGCTTCCACAGGATTCCTAGGCAAGCAAAGCTTTTTATTGAAAGAGATAGTTTATGCACAAAGGAGAAGGCAGTGGAAAAAAAAAAGGGCCAATTCCCCAAGTAGAAGGGGCGAGCTGCTTTCATAACAAAAGGGAGCGTTTGTCTCATGCTCACTGATAATTTCCGGAAATGATCAATCTCTTTGATCAGCAGCAGGTAGCTCCGTGGTGGCTGTCAGCGGGAGGGGGTGCTTCTGTAAGGGGAAAGAAATGCAGGGGAATTTTCTGCATGAAAGCACGGGAACAGATAAGGTTAAGTTTATAGTTGAGCCTCTTGTCTTGTGGCAACTAGGTATACTTGTTAGTGTAACAGAGGCAATGAAGTTAGTCTTTTATTCCTTCAAGCCTGGCTTTTTTTTTTTTTTTTTTTTTTTTGTCTCAGGGACTCAGCCCCCAGGGCCTTTGTTCTTTAGTTTGCAAGGCCTGTTTTGTCCTTTTCCAAAATGACTGTACTCTTGTCTTCCAATCTGGAGATGGCATCAGGTAGAATGACATCATTATGATGCATTTCTCTATGTTGATGGTAAGATAAGTACTTAACCTAAAACAGAAGTTGACAGATATTTTCTAGAAAGGCCCAGATGGTAAATATTTTAGGCTCTGGGCTAAAAGGCAAAATGCAGGATATCATGTGGCTGCTTGTATAACAGGAGAGTAACTACTCCTGCCCACCTGTGTGTCCCCCTGCCCCCACCCTTGCTTGCTGTACAGTTGTTTTGGCTCCCGTTGCAACATCAGCCAGAATCATCCACCTGGCCGAGAGCAACTGGCCCCAGGGAGAGGGAGACCGGCCAGGCAGGTCTGGCCTGCAGCCAGTGTGGTGTATTTCACTTTGCCCCAGGGACACCTAGGTCTGAGGGTGTCATTCTCTCAGCAAACCTGGCCATTATCTCATCTTTGTCTGCTGGCTGGAGGAGAGGTTGTCTCTGACTTCCAGATTGAGATTCTACCATGTGGTGCTAGCCGTTGGCCAATGGTGGAATCTAGAATGTGTTGGTGATAATGTTCAGGCCCCGAGCACACCGCTGGCCAGACAGGCAGGCAGGCACTGGGAGCTCTGGAGAGAGCAGGAGTGGAAACTGACGCCCGGGTTTGGGCTCTGAGGCTCACAGCGATAGCCCCCAGCAATACAAAATTGCAGACACGGAGAGGTGCTACTGGCATCCAGTGGGGAGAGGCCAGAGGTGCTGCTGAACAGCTTACCATGCCCAGACAGCCCCTCCCAGCAAGGAATGCTTCGCATTAGTGCGAAGTTGAGAAACTCTGATCTAGAATAACAAAGAATTGCACTATAGTTCATGAAGTACTTGAAGAGAAAACGTTATTTTGATCCTCAGATGACTCATTATCTCTTAAATAGTAATGGTATCTTCTCCACTAGACCATGAACATCTTACTCACCTTTGTTTTATTCATCTTTGTATTCCCATTTGTATAATTTAGAATCAACACACACATATGGGGCGTTCATTAATAACAGCTAATGTTTATTGGGTGTTTATAATACACTACCCACTGTGCTAAGTAATTTGCAGGCTTTATCTCATTCATCACAACAATCAGAGGTAGGCACCATCATTATCTCCGCTTCAGGAAGGTAGATTTGATATTGGGAGGTTATGTAATTTTTTCAGTGTCACACAAATGGAGGAGCTAGAATTAAGGTGTAACTGATTTGTTATAAGGTGTATATTACAAGCTTCCCTTCCATGTGAAGGTTATTAATGAACCTTTTTCTTAAGCCTGTTAGTGGTAACTTGAGCTGTAATACCCTAGATCGGTCTGTGGGTTACTGCTCTATTTAAAATTTTACTTCCAGAGAGAGAATGAAAATCCACAACGCTTTAACTTTTTGTTGTTGTTGTTCCACTCTGTGTTTATAAATCTCATCTCAAATAAAACTGCTTTTTCCTTTCCAGAGCTCACCAAGATTTCTTCAGATTTAAGTGCCAAGTTTATAAAAGTGCACTTACCTTAGTCTCGTTCTGGAAGCCTCCGTCTGGAGCCCTGACCTGTGTCAGACCAGAGGACTTAACCAGACTGCCTCTGCCTAGTACACACGTTTCAGTGTTGGAGAGCATTTTCCAGCTTCAGATAATAAAGTTACTTATTGCCAGTATTTTGAGCCATAATAAACTGTGCTATTCCAAATGAACTTTGTTTTAAAATAAGTTGACTTTTAAAATAGACTTCTCTTGTGAAAGCACTCCAGCATTCCAAGTGGAAAATAGCATCTCACGTACTTTGGGTGAAGATGTAAGTACAATTCTCACAGAAAATGGACATTGAAAAATGCAGCTCTTTGTACCTAAGGATACTTTGTGACCTCATTAGCTATCAGAAAGGTTATTACAATCTATATATTATAATACGCTATAATTTACATTTATATGTTCATTTGGTTTAAGTAACCTGAGTTTCCCTTTTGCCAGGGATTTAAGATTTGCTGATTTAATTGCATATTTTAATGATAATCAAATAAAATTCATTTGGGACTGTTCTCTTCTTCCTTTGTATCGGTGCATTGTTTATGCAAGGATGCACTAATATAGGGATAGTTTCCTTTTAAAATTGCCAGTTATAGGCAAAAGTACATTTTTAGGTGGTAAAGTACTTTGGATCAAAACTTCCAAAAATTTTAGCTGTTTTTTATATTTCTTCCCCCTTTCTGTCCTATGCTTCAGTATTTCTATATTTATAGTTTGAAAATTTTTAACCCAAGCTGGAAATTGCAAATACTTGGAAAAAAGAATGAAAGGACATTGCGTTAAGTGTGATAAGCCAGTCACAACAAGACAACATACTGTAGGAGTCCACTTCATGAGATTTCTCCTATCAGAGGATCAAATTCATAGAGACAAGAGAGTAGAATGGTGGTTGCTAAGGGCTGGGGAGAGTGCGGAAGGGCAGTTATTTAATGGGTACAGAGTTTGAGATGAAAAAAGTTCTGAAGATGGTCACCTTGAAGAAAAATAGAAACAGTTTTAATCATCTTAATCAATACAGATGTTTATGTATTTTAAGAACACTGGGTCCCCAAATGACTGACTGCCTTGAGCAGAGCTGCCCACCAACCTGGACTGCACACATCAGGCCTTAGCATGAAGGAAAAATTAATCTCATTATTTAAAAAAAATAATAATTAACAAAAATAAAGCCACTAAACTTTTCTGGTTTATTTTCCCCCTATTTTAAGAGAAATGTTTTTATGCTACTCAGCCATAAAAAAGAATGAAATTTTGCCATTTGCAACAACATGGATGGACTTGGAGGGTATATATATATATACAGAGAGGGAGAAGGGAACATTTTTTATTTTTTTTAACGGAAATAGTAGGATACCATGCATCTTGTTCTGTATCTTCCCTTTTTGTCCCCTGTTTTTAAAGTTTGTCTTAAGTGGTTAATGTGCAAGTTAAATCTGATTTTACAGGTTTGTAAACTTGAAGGCTAGAATCATCTCTCTCTCTCGTATCTCCCACGTATTATAAGAAATACACTGAAGTATTTTGGACTTAGTTTTATTACTCTAGTACTTAAGGCCATACTTGACAGAATCTTGAGAAAGAATCAATTTGTGTGCTATTCAAAACTGTAATAAGCATTTGATTTAATGTCTCTGGCCGAGTCAAAACTCAGTTGTGAAAAGGCCAGAGATAGTAACAGTGAAAAACAAAATAACATCATTAGAGAGTCTCATTTGTCCCTTTAGTCTTATGCAAGACTTCTAAAACTGGAGTTACTAAAAAGGGATTAAACTGATTTATTCTGTATTTCGTACACACAAAGTGCCAGGTACTTCATGGAACACAAAGATGTTTCAGTTTCTGCAGAAATCGTTTCCTTTCTCTCTCTTTTCACTCTTGTACAGCCAGAAATTAAGGGCTAACTAGTCCATAACTAGATAATCAAGCCCTAATCAATCAGGCAGTGGCTCCGGTTTTTAAAATAACGAGTTTAAAAAGCCACAGGAACCAAACAGTAAGTATTAAGATGCAAAACATACAAGATGTTCCTGCTGGGCAACTTATGAATTATTTTCTTTTCAATAAATCCATCTCTTTATCTCACAGGTCAGTTTTCATCTGACTGCAACTACATTTCCCCTATGTACAGGAAAATAAGTGGGCAACTCCCACTGTCTTTTAACTAGAACCTACTCTGTCCTGCTCAGTGTGCCAGGCTTTGTGGTCTGTGCTTTATGTGCTCTAGTCTAGTCTTATAATAGCTTGAGAAATTGTTATCCCCACTTAATAGATAAGGAAACTGAAGTTCTGAGAACATTCAGGTAGTTTCCCAAAGTAACAGAGTGAAGGACAAGGCTGGGATTTGAATCCTGCTCGGTGTGACTCGGTTCTGAAAGGTGAAACTCCATCAGTATAACCCATGAAAAAAAATTTTTTAAGTTTTTTAAATTAATCTTTTTTAAAAAATACATTTTTATTGAAGTATAGTCAGTTTACAATGTTGTGTCAATTTCTGGTGTACAGCACAATACTTCAGTCACATAGGAACATACAGACATTCATTCTCATCTTCACCATAGGTTACTACAAGATAGTGAATATGGTTCTCTGTGCTATACAGTATAAGCCTGTTGTTTATCTATTGTGTATATATATATATATTAGTTATTATCTGCAAATCTCAAACTCCCAATTTATCCCTTCCCACCCCCTTTCCCCCTGTAACCATAAGTTTGTTTCCTATGTCTGTGAATCTGTCTCTGTTTTAGAAATGGGTTCATTTGTGCCTTTTTAAAATATTTCACATATAAGTGATATTATATGGTATTTTTCTTTCTCTTTCTGGCTTGCTTCACTAAGAATGACATTCTCTAGGTCCATCCGTGTTGCTGAAAATGGCATTATTTTATTCTTTTTATGGCTGAGTAGTATTCCATTGTATAAGTATACCACAACTTCTATATCCTGTCATCTATCGATGGACATTTAGGTTGCTTCCATGTCTTGGCTATTGTAAATCATGCTGCTGTAAACATTGGGGTGCATGTGTCTTTTTGAATTATATTTTTCTCCAGATATATGCCCAGGAGTGGTATTACTGGATCCTATGGTAAGTCTATTTTTAGTTTTTCAGGAAATCTTCATACTGTTTTCCATAATGGCTGCACCAAGCTACATTGCCAGCAGCAGTGTAGGAGAGTTCCTTTTCTCCACACCCTCTCCAGCATTTATCATTTGTGAACTTTTTAATGACTTTTTTTCGGACTGGTGTGAGGTGATACCTCATTGTAGTTTCTTAAGGTGCTTTTTGTTATACTATTTTAATAAGTGGGAATGGATTATACAGCTAAATACAGTTCTAAGGTTTTTCTTTACCCTCTGTTATGTAAGTAAATTTTTAGTTAAATGATTTAGTGTAACTGAGCAGAACTCTATGGGGTCTTCCCAGGACAGACTCTTCCCTGCCCCGTCTTCTGCCTGTCTCTTGTTTGTGGAAAAACTTTAGCCTCCTAGGCTTTCCTCAAGTTTCAAAGAATAAATTTAATCAGAGAAATGAGGAAATGCAGAAACAAAGGAAAACAATCAAGCAAGAGAAAATAATAATAGTTCAGCTATTAAACAAAGTCAAGGACCTTTAGTTTCTCCTCAAGGGCTTATAGATAATATTCTGAGCCATATCCTTTGAGCTGTTTTGCGGATGCCGAAACCCCTTCCAGGTGGAAGAAGTTAGCTGTATGCTGCCCACAAGCACATAGACCTCAGACCAGCTGGAACCAGGAGGACTAGCAGACCAAAGATTTATGGCTCAAATAATATTCCACCTGCAAGCGAGACATGATGGCTGCTTGGAACCGTGTCATCAGGACATTCATCTCTGAAAATAGAATTTGGAGAAGGGTGATGGTGGGTGGGATGAAGAGGATTAACTGAGGAAATAGCCAAAATTCTGAAATAAATGAATGATTGAGAATCCTTTTGTAACACAAATACTCATTCCTTTTTCCTTTATATTCAAATTACTGTTAGCCTTTTGCAAAGAAAGATACAAAGCACAGAAATCTAAGCTGAGTGGATGTTAAATTTAAGAAGTAATATATTATTTAACAGCAATTCACGATGCTATAATCCGATAATGGTATTGGAGTTCCCTCAACTCTGGACTGTTTAATTAAAATACTAACCAATATCCCCTTTTCTCCTCTTGCCATAAGGACTTGCACACACTTCTCTCCCTGCCTTCAAAGCACTGTCCCCTCACAGCCTCCTGACTCCTTCAACCTTAATGATTTTTTAAATAAAGTTGCTCTTTTTTTTTTAAGGATTTTCTTGGTGGGTTGGTAATTGGGTTTATTTATTTTTAGAGGAGGTCCTGGGGATTGAACCCAGGACCTCATGCGTGCTAAGCACGTGGTCTACCACTTGAGCTATACCCTCCCCCACCTTTAGCAGTTATTACTTTCTCTGGGAAACTTCCCTGAGCTCCCTGAAAATGTAAATTCTGCACATTACAGAACCCCATAGCACTATGTATTTGCCTTTAAAGGACTTAATAGACTTGTAAAATTGATCAATGATACATTTGATCAATGTCTGTTTCTCTCATTAGGTGGTAAGTTCCAGGAGGCCAAGGACTTTTACTGTTGTTAGCCGACCACACACTCCCAGTGCTAGCATAGGGCCCCGGACCTAGGTGTTCAATAAATGTTGAATAGGTGAATATAGATGGTAACTACTACTAGACTGAAAGTCTGTAGGCAAAGATAAAGTTGAGGATTGCTGGTTCTTACCAACCAAAGACCAATTAGAAAGTCAGATAAAGCTAATTTCTGAAATTGTGCCAATAAAACTATAGAAAATATGTTGATTCATAACAAGTCAGATACAGTTGCCTTGTGAGGAATTTGGAGGAGAAATTAAGGTATTTTTCTCTGTAGCATCCTTCTGATGAAAATCTGGAAAACATTCCAAATAGGCATTAAATAGCATGAGGCTCTTGCACACTATCACCGTTGTCTTCCAACAGAATAAAATGGTAAGTGATATTTTTAATATCCCCCAAGAATATTAAAGGCAAAAATGGAAATATTATGACTGTTTACAAATATAATTTTGTATATTATATTTTACTGTTTTGTTCTGTAATTGTTTCACATGTTTTGTGTCTTCAGTTGGACTAAAAGTTTTTACTAAAGCCATGCTTTATACCGGTGGTTCTTAATTTTGGCAAAACTGTTCCCCAAGGGCATTTGGCAATGTCTGGAGACTTCTGTTTGTCACAGTGGGGTGGAGGGAAATGCTCCTGTCACCTAGTGGCTGGAGGCCAGAGATACTGCTAAACATCCTACAATGCACAGGACAGCCTCCTCCCCTCACAAAGCATTATCTGGACTAAAATATCAATAGTGCCAAGGTTGAGAAACTCTGCTTTATTTTTTATTTATATATATTATATCTGAATATAATATATAATACATTGATTAGTAAATATATTACATTATTCAGTAATTAATGTACATTAATTATGTATATATTAAAGATATACAGTTGAGCTCTTGCATTAATGGAGTTTTTATAAATATAATTGACTCATAAAATAATTGTTGACTCTTTTTTGAAAGGGGAGAGAAACAAATGGGATAGTTTCTACTGGCTTTGCTATTTAGAAATTGTTTCATCTGAATCTTCCCTGTGAATCAGTCACTTGAAACACATCTACAGAATGTTAGCAGTGACCCCCTCATCCACAGCAAAGATCCCCTGGAAGCCATTTGGTACAATACGACCTCACCTTGCTAGCTTGGCTTAGAGGAGGGTGCCTGACTCCAATGTAGCCAGTGAGAAGATCTTTTAAGATATCCTGTATCCTTAGAACAAATCCTCCCTTTCTGCCTTGACTAGCTTGAGAGAGTTTCTGTTACTTTCAAGTCAAGAGGCTTTAACCAACAGAACTACTCTAGGGATGATTGTAAAATTCATCTCCAGGGGAAGACTGCTCTTTTAAAAAACAGTTTAATGGGTCTCCCGGGTATATGAAAGTAACGCAAAATTTCATTCTGTAATGAAGAAGCTCAGAACAATTAGGAACAAGTGTAATGCATAGTGATGTAAAAGGATGACTACATTGTGGGCAGGGCTGCATCTTTGCAGGCAGCATGTTAATGCTTTCTTGCTGTTGTTGGAGAAGGGGGCTTTATTATTATTTTT